GCGGAGCCAAGCACCGAGCGCTAAAACCGTGCGTGACTGCTTGCCGCCCTCCTCGCTCCTCAGCGGGAGGGGGGCCTTCCTTGCTGCGGCGTGCTGAGTCCAACTCACGCCCGCGGGCGCGCGCCTTGTCCAGCGTGTCCTCGGGCGCCGTGACGTCGGTTTCTGCCTGCGCCACCATGTTGCCAGACGAAGCAACCGCCGCCCCTCGGCAACAGGACCTCCGGTTCCCTCAGCACGTCCTTCAGCTGCGGCGCTCTCTTCGCCGACTCGCCTCTTCTTGGCTGCCGGGCGCGTCCGTTAAGCTTGGCGCTCCATCTTCGCCTGCTTGGCCGAGTCCACCGCCTTGGCGAAGAGGTCCTTGGCCGCGTCGCGGATGCTGCTCATGAGCAGCTCCTTCCGCTTGGCGGCGTCCGCAAGGTCGGCCTCCTCCGTGCCGTCGTCGGGGCCCAGGCCGAGAAGGGAGCTAGTCGCCCATGCCCAGGTCTAAGCAGACCGCCCTGCCCCCCGGGAGGTCGGGCAGGGCGGCCGACGGCCGGCGGGCCTCGTCCGCGATCCGGCACTCCGCCCTGGCGCTCTCGACCTCAGTGGACAGCCCGGGGTGAGCCCGGAGGGGGAGACGCGCGGGCGCAAATACTCGTCGCCTCCCAGGGAAAGATGGGGAAGGATAGGAAGTTTGGGGGAAGACGAACATCCAGAACAGATGGAATCACATGGAGGAATCCGGGGATTTGCGTGCTCATGGATTTGTGTGTCCCTGGGCTTAATTAAGTGAGCCAGGCCCAGCTGCTTGAGCACCTTGTGCGTCCTGAGGATGAGGGCCTCCTGCGCGTAGACCTTCGCCTTCCAGGTCTCGAGAGCCCGAAACTCGTGCTGCGTCCTCTTGCCGAGCTTGATCCGCTCCCTCTGCGTGCGCGCCATCTGCTCCTCCAGGGGCTCGTCAGACTCGACGGGCGGCTGGCGGGCGTTCCAGTACTCGCAAAGTGCATGCTCGCAAACGTCAGAAGCAAACGCATGTTTTCCCCTGTGTAATGGATGGTAAATCCCTGGCGGCGGATCCAGGCCATTTGCGCGTAGGTATTTTGCGAGTAGTGGAACGCGCTTGTCTACTCTTGTCGAGCCTGACCCGCCCCCTGTGCGTGCGCGCCAGCTGCTCCTCGAAGGGCTCGTCAGACTCGGCGGGCGGCTTGCGGGCGTCCCACTACTGGCAAAGTGCATGCCCGCAGCCGTCAGAAAAAAAGCACAGGTCTTTCCTTATATAATGGATCGTATATCCCCAGCGGCGGATCCAGGCCATTTGCGAGTAGTTATTTTGCGAGTAGTGGAATGCGCTTGTCTACGTTTGCCGAGCCTGATCCGCCCCCGCTGCGTGCGCGCCAGCTGCTCCTCGAAAGGCTCGTCAGACTCGACGGGCGGTTTGCGGGCATTCCATTACTCGCAGAGTGCATACTCGCAAACGTCAGGAAACAAAAAACACATGACATGTCTTCCCCTTGTGTAATGGATGGCAAATCCCCGGCGGCGGATCCAGGCCATTTGCAAGGCTAGTTACTTTGCGAGCAGTGGAACGCGCTTGTCTACGTTTGCCGAGGGCTCGTCAGACTCGGCGGGCGGCTTGCGGGCGTTGAGCATGCACTGGTAGCGATGGGCCTCCGACGCGTTGCCAACCTTCCTGTGGAGCTTCACGAAGATCTCGAGTTCGGACAGCGACAGCTCAGCTTCATGATGGGCGGCCTGTAGTGCATCCTGAGCAGGACCAACAAGCGGCCCAGGTGGCAACGGAGGGCGAGGAAACTGCCCAGGGGGTCCGTGCCGCGGGAACGCTGCATTGCCACCGAAGCCGCTTCCTCCCTTGCCCTTGCCACCGATATTCTTCCCGCCGCCGCCAGCCCCTGTACCTCCACCAGCTTTGCTCCGAGGTGGGCGGGCGTTTGAGGACCAGGGGCGAAAGAAAACGGGGAGATGTCCTCCAGGGGGCGAGCCAGTTCAGACACCGCCAGCAGCAGGAACAGCCCGAAACGACGGAGATGCCTAGGGCGCGCCACAGTGCTTACACCAGGGTGGCGTCGTCTTGTTCCTGCCACATCCGCACGAACTTCACTTCCACGTAGGGGCACGCGTGAACCGACGGCCCGTTCGCCAGGGGTATTCCTCCCCCGCCTGGCGCCCATCCATCCGCGCGCTAAGGGATGAGGTCCCTCGACCTGAGTGGGTAGCGAAAGCGATGCCGCAAACAAACGGCCGGCAGCAGCACAGCCGTTTTGAAGTTCGCTGCTGCAAGCACCAAACCTGGGCCAGAACGGCTGGAGGACGAGGAGGAGCAGGAGGAGGAGTGGGAGGAGGAGGTGGAGGAGAAGGATGAAAAGGAGGAGCAGGAGGAGGGGGAGGAGGAGGGGAAGGAGGGTTTCAGAGGGAGGAGGGTGGAGGGGCGCCCTCGTCGCCTCTCGCTTCCTGCTGCAGCTGTGAGGGGGACGTGCCCATGCGCGCACTGTGCCACCTTCTCGCTCTCGCTGCCCGTCCTGCGAGCTGGGCCGGGAAGCAGCGGCACCGCTGCCGCTGCTCGTCCTGGAGGGCTCTCGTCTTCCTCGCGGCGGCAGGATTCTCCCCCAAGTTGTGGTTAGAATGCGCTCCAGGAGAGGTCCAGGGCGTAGCGGTATCAGTACCTTTCCGGTCACCCCATGCGTGGGCAGTGGCGAGCGGGTAGCGGGTCACCGGGTAGCGGGGAGGAGGGGGATGGAAAGGGAGGGGGGGTGGGGGGGGGGGCATGAGGGGTGATGTGAGAGGGGCTGGGGGAGGAGGATACCCCCCTCCCGTCGTCCGCCAGGGTCCATGTCGATATGATCAATGCGACTCGAGATCTATTCTGGCCGGCCCGATCCGATTCGGGCATTTGATGTGGCCCGATGCTTGCACGTCGCTGGTATGCATCCTGGCGCAGCCGATCCGATCCGATTTCGACCCCGTTTCGATGCGGCCCGATCTGGATGCGCATTCCAATTCGATCCGATTTCCCGATGTCGATGCTGACCGATCCTTCCCTTCTCCCACCTCACCGCTCTTTTCCCTGCCGATCTCCACAGATTATTGCTTTTGGTATTCCTTTGAGTTTCAGGGGGCACTCGGATCTGTTGTGTCGCGTGCCTGCTTCAACGATGACAGGTGTTGCCATTTTCCACCCATCGTGGTTGACTCGCGGCATCTTTTCCCAACTATCCTGTGGTGTTGGGTCCTCGTTTTGAAGAGACAGCGCCCGCGTCTTTCTCTCTTCCTTCCTTCTCCTCCCGCTGCCTCCCCTCCCTCTCCCCAACCATCCTGCGGTGTTGGGTCCCCGTTTTGAAGAGACGGTGCCCCGCGTTCTCCTCCTACTTCTCTCCTCATCGTACCCCTCTTCCCTCCTCTCATCATCACCATCATCACCATCATCATCACCATCATCATCATCATCATCATCATCATCATCATCACCATCACCATCACCATCATCATCATCATCATCATCATCATCATCATCATCATCATCATCATCATCATCATCATCATCATCATTACATCATCATCATCATCATCACCATCATCATCATCATCATCATCATCATCTTTATCATCATCATCACCATCATCATCATCATCATCATCATCATCATCAGCGTCATCATCACCATCATCATCATCATCATCAGCAGCAGCATCAACATCATCATCATCATCATCAGCATCATCATCATCATCATCATCATCATCATCATCATCATCATCATCATCATCATCATCATCGACGTCATCATCACCACCATCATCATCATCATCATCATCGTCGTCATCATCATCACCCATTTCGGCACACCCCTCACACGGATCGTGGCCCCATAGGGAGCTCCACCGAAGGCCCCAGTGGCAGGGTTCGCATGGCGGCCCCGCCCCATTTCGGCACACCCCTCACACGGATCGTGGCCCCATAGGGAGCTCCACCGAAGGCGCCAGTGGCATGGTTCGCATGGCGGCCCCGCCCCATTTCGGCACACCCCTCACACGGATCGTGGCCCCATAGGGAGCTCCACCGAAGGCGCCAGTGGCAGGGTTCGCATTGCGGCCCCGCCCCATTTCGGCACACCTCTCACGAGGATCGTGGCCCCATAGGGAGCTCCACCAAAGGCGCCAGTGGCAGGGTTCGCATGGCGGCCCCGCCCCATTTCGGCGAACCCCTCACGAGGATCGTGGGCCCCTTGGAAGCTCCACTGAGGGCGCCAGTGGCAGGGTTCGCATGGCGGCCCGCCCATTTCGGCACATCCCGCACAAGGATCGTGGCTTCATAGGGAGCTCCACCAAAGGCGCCAGTGGCAGGGTTCGCATTGCGGCCCCGCCCCATTTCGGCGCACCCCTCACGAGGATCGTGGTCCCGTGGGGAGCTTCACCGAGGGCGCCAGTGGCAGGGTTCGCATGGCGGCCCCGCCCCATTTCGGCACACCCCTCACGAGGATCGTGGCCCCATAGGAAGCTTCACCGAGGGCCCCAGTGGCAGGGTTCGCATGGCGGCCCCGCCTCATTTCGGCACATCCCGCACAAGGATCGTGGCTTCATAGGGAGCTCCACCGAAGGCGCCAGTGGCATGGTTCGCATGGCGGCCCCGCCCCATTTCGGCACACCACTCACATGAGGATCGTGGCCTCATAGGGAGCTCCACCGAAGGCACCAGTGGCAGGGTTCGCATGGCGGCCCCGCCCCATCTCGGGGCACCCCTCACGAGGTTCGTGGTCCTATAGGGGGCTTCACCGAAAGCCCCAGTGGCAGGGTTCGCATGGCGGCCCCGCCCCATTTCGGCGCAACCCTCACACGGTTTGTGGCCCCATTGGGAATTCCACTTGCTTCGTCCCACCTGCCTTGCGGTTCTCACACTTGCGTATGGTTGGGTCCTCCGCCAGGACAATTTTTTGCTCTATCTCTATCTCTCTTTCTTTTTTGTATTTGACATTTTTCTGGTAACGTTTTTTGCGATTCTTTGACAGGAGCCGCTGCACGGCAACAATTCGCGGACGGGAAGGGAATCAATAGAGTTTCAGAATGTGGTGCAGCGTGACAGTGCCTAAGCAGATGCACAGGGCGCGCCAGAAAGAGCCTCGCCTTTGAGGGATCGAGAAATCGGCTTGTCGACCTGTACTGAAGCTGGCGGAAGTAAAACGGTGGAGGCTTTGCAGGCGGAAACCGGCGGATACAGTTTGACCTCCTAGAGATGCCAATGTTAGTTTGCTCAGATTGTCTGGAGCTGGCCACATGCATGACAGACATTCCGAAGAGCAGAAAGCTTCGGTCGGTATATGGCCTTCATCTCTCGCCAGTGGTGTGTTTTGTTGTTTCCCAGGCAGGGTGCGCATGCCGAAAAGTTTCCTACATCTGTATGATGACCAGCTGGTTCTGTACAACCGAAGTGCTCGGCAATGCGAACCCTACCCTCGCCGATACGATGCATGCAACTCGATGGGCGGAAGGGGTAGCGTTCGGTATTCGTCGACCACGTGGCGAAATCCGAACCCTACCCCCGCCTCCCTTCGATGGGGGTCGGGTTCGGATGTCGCCGCCTAGGTGGGGGAGTATGAGGGGCAGCGTCTGATGTGGGCAAGGGGTAACACCGGCCCCGTTTCTTTTGGCATCGTCCTCCCTCTCTCCTCCTCTCAGGAGGGAGAAACACACGGACACAAATACTTATCGATTCCAGGGAAATGTGGACAACTATGGGACGTGTGGGGGGGAAGACGAACATCCACAAAATATGGGAAACTATTGGGAATCCTGGAATACTGGAAACATCCAGGGTGACTTTAATGTCCCTGTGCCCCTTCATCCTTCCTCCTCCCTCCTTCTCCTCCTCCTCCTCCTGATTCGTTCTGTGAACAGGGTTGCTCCGTTGAAGTTGGTGCGGGCCACTGTCTACGTTCATCCGTTGACGTTTCGCTCAAGCTTTTTCCCCACGGGGTATGGTGCCCCCGTGGGCAGTCGGCGCCATCACTCAGCTGTCGCACGGAGTCGCCTCTTGGTTGACGCAGGCGCCCGCCCCGCCGCCCTGTCCATCCGTGGTGTGCCCGGACTGCCAGTGCGTCTGCCCCGCGATCCCGCAGTGCCCGGCGTGTCCTGGTGCGCCCGCGCAGTGCCCGGCCCCCTCGGCCAAGCCCGCGCCGGAGGCGGCCCCGGGCCTTCAGTGGCGGCGGCGTGGGGCACCACGGTGGCGGCCCTCGTGATCGGGATCGCGCTCGGGGACGCCGCCCGCTGGGCCGATGGCAGCTGCTGCCGCCGCAGGCGGGGCCGGTCAGGACGCGATGGACCAGGTGGGCTACATCCTCTACGCAGTGGCGGGCCCGCCGCTGTAGCACCAGCGTTGGCTGATGGGTCTCGCCCGACCACCTGGTGCAGACGGAGGTGGTGGATGGCTCGTCGCCTGACATCAGCGCGGTTCGGTGGGCTCCGACGCTGGCACCGCGGCCGCCTGGCGTCGTGCGGGCCTACCGCTTCGCAGCTGCACCGACGGCGGCGGAGATCGCGGATGGCTCCCTGAGGCCCAGGCCGAGGCGAGGCGGTGCTTCATGCGACGGCACCCGGGCGTGGCTGTGCCGGCGCCCGTGTTCGAGCCCTGGCCTTGGGCACGGGCGGTGCCGCCGGGAGTGCCCGCGGCCCCTGCGGCGGGCGTGGCCGCCCCAGCAGCGGCTCTGCCAGGAGGAGTGGGCGCCCTGGTGGCCGCGGGCGTCCCGCCCCCAGCCGCCCCGGCGCCCGCACCGCTGCCAGGTGGTGTGATGCCTCGCGGAGGAGCTGCCGCCGCTGGTGCTGGCCTGGGAGCAGGAAGGGGGGCGGGAGTGCCGCCCCCACCTGCGGGGGCCGCTTTGGCTGCGGCGGTGGGCGCTCCGGCACGGCCGCTCGTGCTGGAAGGCGGTGCCGGCGGCGCGGCCGCTGCTCCCCAGGGCAACTGGCGGGTTGCGCAGGAGTGGAGGGGGTACCACTACGGCGACGTGATCACCCCCCCCGCGGGCTTCGCGGGCCTTGGAGTTCCTGCTCGAGGAGTCGTTCCCCTGGCTGATGGGTCGGCGATCTTCGTGGAGTGGGTCACGCTTGAGGACGAGGGGAGTTTCGCGGATAGGGCTGTGGCTCCCGATTGCCGCCTGCTGCCCGTTCGAGTCTACCGCACGGGGCGCCCTTTCCGCTCGCTGGAGAACATCGTCGAGAGCTGCCGCCAGGAGTCCTTGCCCGACTTCATCGCGCCCAGGACAGCCTTGTGGTGCCTCGAGCACTTGGCTGGCGAGGGCCGCTCCTTGGAGGCGCACTTCGAGCATTTTAAGAAGCTGTGCGGCCTTCAGGATTCGCGGTGGGGCATGGAGGAGTATGCCAACGTCGTCAGCTATCTCAAGGCTCTCCTGCACCACGATCAGGTGGACGCCTCGGACATCTTGTCGGTCGAGATGATGTTTCGTCGCCTGCAGACGATAGAGTACTGCTACAGCGACAAGCTGCGCGAGAGATCGACTGGGTCCTCAGGCGGGAGGTTGACCGCGGACGAGCAGGCTGCCTTCGGCGCGACGGCCCGGGCGGAGACGCGGCTGATTGTGCCGCCCGCGCTGCTGGAGAGCGCCGAGCAGGAGCTCGAACGGGGCGCCTCGCTGGCCAAGAGTCTGCTGAAGGCGCGTGAGGCCCGCGAGTCGTTGGGCAAGAAGCGTCCGGGCCAGCAGGGGCAGGGGTGGTGCTCGGCTGCCCCCTCCAGACGTCCCTCAGGTCTGGTGGGGAGGACGTCGGCACAACTGGGGATGCTCGGAGCCCGTCGCGGCCTCCGGGGAATTTTGACAGGAACGTCGGGCGGGACTTGTTGCCGTTCCCGACAGAGCCCCCCCCTCGGCAGAGCCACATGCACCCAGGCTCTCGCGAGGGCGCGGGCAAAGAGCCGGGCGTCGGCGGCGTCGCGATGCTGACGTTCTTCGGTGCTTGCGTGGTCTCAACACGCTCTGCGGCGTGCGGGGGGAGGCGCAGCCGCCGAGTGACCTGACTGAGCCGTGGGCAGCAGCGCGTGCTCGAGCATGTTGAGTCCTCCGTCTCTCGCCCGGGGCCTCCCCCAGGTGATCTTTCGCAGGCGGCGGCCCTTCAGGCGCTGCGCCTCGGTCTTCCCTGCGACGCAGGAGGAGGCCCTGTAGGCTATGAAGCCTCCCGCGTCTCCCTTCCAGCTGCAGGGTCGGTTCCGACTCCGATCGCTCGGCTCTGGGGATTCGGCGGAGATAGTGTTGTTGCTCGCTTTGTGGAGTCGCAAGTCTTGCCCATCGACGTGGCTCGATCGAAGTTGAAGGATGCTGGCCCAGCTCGGCCGTGCGGTGACCCTCGCCTCTTCTCTTCCTCCCTTTACGGTGAATTCGTTCGGCGTTTGATCGAGGCAGGCGTAATTGAGCTCTCGCTCGAGCCCGTCTCCGAGGTAGTCGATTGTTTCTTCGCGAGAAAGGGGAGCGGCAAACAGCGCCTGGTCGTTGACTGCCGTCGGTCCAGCATTTTGAGCCGCCCGCCCCGGTCAGCTTGGCGTCAGGCGACACGCTTTCGCAAGTCTACAGTGACGTCTCTTCGGGCCAGCCCCTTTACATAGGCCAGGTAGCAAGGGCGCGTTTTACCGCATGGAGCTCCCAGAGGAGCTCCGGCGTTTTCGTTCTCCGGAGAGTTCGGGCCTCGTGGGCCGGTGTTTCGGAGGTCGGAGGCGTCGAAGTTTCTCCTGGGAATTGGGTCCGTCCTCGCGTGCGAGCTTTGCTTATGGGCTGGTCTTGGGCCCTCTGGTGGTGTCGGGCGATTCGCGAGCGAGCGGCCGAGGAGGGGGGGTCCCCTGCTGCGGTGCGGCTCGCCGATGGTGCTCCTCCTCCTCCCCTCGCCTCCTCTCCTCGCGTCCAGTATGTGGACAACTACGTAGTGTTTTCAACGAGCGAGGCCGAAGTTCGAGAGCGCCTGGCGGGAGTGTCTCAAGCCTTGGAGTTCCGAGGATTGCCATTGCGCAAAGAATCCATCTCGTGTGATCGTGCCGTTGCGCTGGGGTGGGAAATCGACGGCCTCTGGCGTGTCTTCCGCCCGACCCCCGAGCGTGTCTGGAAGGCTCGCCTCGCCATGCGGGGTCTTTTAGCGCGTGGCTCGGTCTCTGGGGGGGATCTTGAGCGCCTCTTGGGCCATCTGTGTTTCGTCGGCTTATGCAGACGAGAGTCTCTTAGCGTGTTCAAGTATTGTTATCGTTTTTGCGAGGCTGCCCGTGGGGGCCCAGCCCGGGGACCTAGGGGCCTCTGGGCCTCGGCTCGGCAGGAGCTGGATGCGTGGGGCCGCGTCGCCCCGCTCATTTGGGTGAACACCTCGGCGAGTGTCTGCCAGGGCGTCGCGGTGGTGGGCGCGTCGCCGTGGGGTCTCGGGGCTGTGCGGGGACGACCGCCGCGGGATCTGGTGGAGGAGGCTTGCCGTTATTCGGAGCGTGCAGGGGCCCGTGAGGCGGCCCGCGAGGGGCCGCCCGCCCCGGGGGCGGGTCTTCGCCGTGGCCGCTGCGCAGCTGAACGGGGGGGGCGAGAGGCCCGACAGGCAGATCCTCATGGAGCTCGTGCGGGCCCCTTCGCGTGACGATCGACCCGAGAGCGAGTTCGACCTCAGGCATCGGAGTCGCTTCAAGGGCGCCCCCCTGGGCCTCTTGAAGATCCCTTGGAAGGTTTGCGGGGGGCAGGGGTGGAAGCGCCCCTCAACGTCTATGCCGACCTTGGAAGCGGAGGCCCTCTTGTACGGAGTTCGTCACCTCATGAGGTCCGTTGCCAACCTGGGTTCGAGGCTGCTCGTGATGGGCGATTCGATCTCCGCCTCGCTCGCAGCCGCCAAGGGCAGGTCGTCCGCCGATGGCATGCTCTCGGTGGCCCGCCGTATGGGCGCGCTGCTGCTGGCCACGGGCTGCCTGCTGCGGTCGCGCTGGATCGCCTCGGAGCTCAACCCCGCGGACGGCCCGTCGCGCGGGCGGGGGTCGCCGAGCGACCCTCTTGCAGGTCTGCGGCGCGAGCTGGCGGCGGCCGCCCAGGAGCGGCGCCATGCTGGCGCGCGGCAGGTCCGACAGGTCGAGGACCCCTGCAGGCCGCTTGCCGCTGCCGCCCAGCTCGGCCTCAGCCCCCTGCCCGGCCTTGGCCCTCCCGGATGCTGGGGGCCAGCGCGCGGCGGCGGCGCGGGTCCGCGCGGGGCGGGCTGCCGAGCTGGCTGCTGCGAGGGTTCCAGAGGCCCAGATGAGTCTGCTGAGGAGATCCTCAGTCTCGGAGAAGACGCAGGCTCAGTACTCGCTCTACCTGTCGGCCATGCGCCGGTACTGCCACTCCCGCGATCTGGGCGAGCTGTTCACCGAGGAGGAGTGGGACCTCGCCACCGCAGGCCTGATGGAGATCATGTTCATGGAGGGCGGCTCGCTGAGTGCTGGAGAGAAGCTGCTGGCGGCTGTGCAGTGGGCGGAGCCCTGGCTGGGGCAGCTGGGAGGCGGCCGAATGCCGATCTGTCGGCAGTGCCTGCGGGGCTGGCGTCGCGCGGCACCGTCGGGAGGCCGCCTGCCGCTGCCGTGCGACGTGGTGGCTCTGCTGGCGTGCTGGATGCTCTGCCAGGGTCGGAAACCGCGCGCTCTCGCGATCCTGATGATGATGGAGCTCTACCTGCGGCCAGGCGAACCGTTCCTGCTGCGGGGCCGCGACGTCGTGGCAGGGGCTCTCAGCGGGGCCCGCGAGTGGATTCCGACCTCCGTGCTACTGCGCCCTTTCGAGATGCGGGCGCAGTCCAAGAACCAGGAGTTCGACCAGACGATTGTGCTCGACCTCGAGCGCCGGGCAGCGCTGGGGGACGCCCTGGCGCAGCTGGGACGAGAGCGAGGCGACGGGATGCTGCTGGAGTTGGCCCCCAGCGACCTCCGCCCGGCCTTGGACGAGGCCGCGGCGGCCTGGCGACTGGGGCCTCTCGGCCCGCTCGATGCCTACCGTTTCCGCCACGCGGGAGCGAGCGTCGACTTCGCCGCCGGCTCCCAGCGATTGGAGGAGATCCAGCGTCGCGGCAGGCGGCGGTCCGCTCGAAGCCTGCGGCGCTACGAGCACGGGGGCCGGCTGGCCGACCTCTTGCGCCGCCTGCCGCCCGACGTGCAGCGGGCGGCCCCAGTGGCCGCTCGGGAGCTCCCAGACGCGCTGCGGGGGAGACGGGTGCCGTCGCTGGGCCGCTGAAGGCGCCGACCGTCGCCGTGTTCTTTGAGCTCTTCGCGGGGTCGGGCCACTTGTCCGATGCCATGCAGCGTAATGCGGTGCCCACCTTGCGCTGGGACGTGCTGTGCGGGCCGAGCTACGACTTGCGGAGCCCCAAGAACGCCCGGCTCATCCGAGGATGGATTCGAGCCGGACTGGTCTGCGGGCTCCATGCTGGCTTCCCCTGCGAGACCTTCTCGCGCGCGCGTGACCGCCCGAATGGGCCACCCAGGCTCAGATCAAGTGAGCACGTGTGGGGACTGCCGTCCTTGCTTGCCGACAGCGCCGACTCCCAGAAGGTCCATTGGGGCAATCACTACGCGAGGCTCACGATCTCCTTGTGTGTGCTATGCTGCCAGTGCTGTGTGCCTTGGACTATTGAGAACCCAGCGCTCAGCTACGCGTGGGAGTTGCCGCCCATGCGTTCGCTCATGCAACGGAGTCAGATGAGCTCGCAGGTGGTGGAGTATTGCCGCTTCGGAACGCCATGGAGGAAGAGTACCAGATTCGTGAGCTATCTGGTCGACCACGGCCCCCTCTCGAAGTATCGGTGCGTCGGCCCAGTGTGTGTGTTGTGACAGGACAGAAGCATCAGGGGCTGTCTGGCAAGGATGCGACGGGTGTGTTTCGAACGAAGCGTGCCGAAGCTTACCCTAGAAGACTGTGCAACCTTCTCGCGAGAACCTGCTGTGATGAGCGCGCCAGATCCCGGGCAGGGCAGTTTTCCATACTTATAAATCGTGCATCTGGTTTCGCAAGCTGATCCCTCTGTGTAACAAGTGACATTTTGTTTTCCACATTGTATGTTTTGTCGGTGTTGCCAGATTAGCTTTGCTGTTTGCAGCCGTTTGCATGTATCCGAAATGATTTCGTTTGGTGTCAGTGGCCGCTCGTCTCTGTAGTGTGATGGGCGGCAGCTCCTTGCGCCCAGTGCCGTTTCGAATGCCAGCCTCCTGGCCCGCGGAAGCGAAAACAGGGAGCATGATTCGTTCTGTGAGCAGGGTTGCTCCGTTGAAGTTGGTGCGGGCCGCTGTCTACGTTCATCCGTTGACGTTTCGCTCAAGCTCCCCCCCTCCCTCCCTCGCTTTCTCTCTCACCGTGCTTGTGCATGTGTCCGAAATGATTTCGTTTCGTGTCAGTGGCTGCTCGTCTCTGTAGTGTGATGGGCGGCAGCTCCTTACGCCCAATGCCGTTTCGAACACCAGCCTCCTGGCCCGCGGAAGCGAAAACAGGGGGCCTCCTCCTCCTCCTCCTCCTCCTCCTTTCTCCTCCTCCTCCAGGGTTGGGGGGTATTTTTGTGGGGTATAGGCTCGGGGGGGGGAAGCAGCGCGTTAGGCGGGCCTCTGCCGCTCTGACGCGGCGGCGACGCCAGGCACGGGCCTAGAGGCAGACCCCGGGACGTGTGGAGGAAAGCTCGAGCTGGGCGGGTGGTCACGGGGGGGTGGCCTGAATGGGGGGTGAAAAAGAGCACTGAATGGCGCCGGCCCCTTTTGGGCCCCTGCCGGCTTCGAAAGGGGCCCTCTTTAGGCGCCCTTTAGGACCCTCTTCTTCACCCCCCATGCAGGTCACCCCCCAATGTCTACCCGCCCGATCGAGGAAGAAAAACCGCAAGGACCTGCTTTAGAGATTTCTCGACGCAAAGCGGACTAGGTGTTCTATGTTTCTATGTGCTAGTAATACCTTGGAAGACACCGCCGACACCAATTTTGTGTTGTTGTTGTTGTTGTTGTTG